TGCATTTCGTGAACTGCATCAATTATATATATACATATAAATATATCTATGTATATGTGTGTTTCTGTTTGTGTCAGTGCTGCCAATTCAGCGTTTTTTCGGTCAGATCCGGTGTTGTTCTCAGCTAGTATTTTATGGAAATAAAGACAGAAAAATAACAATTAAAAAATTATAAATATAAATACGTAAATATTTATATATGGGCATTTTTCCAGAAAGGTCAACCAAAGCCAAAAAGTGCAAATTCAATGAATGCATGTTCTGATAATATTTTTTTTTATAACTAATCGATGTAAAATAATTATAATTAATTTAAATTTAACTAATATAAACTAATTTTGCATTTATTCATAACACATCTCGAAATATTGACACACACAGCCGAAAAAGTGCCAAAGTTCTGTTTTGAGCATTTATGTTGCACATTTTGTTTTTATTACTGTTCTTAAAGAGAGACACTATGCAATGAAATATTATTTTTCAAATCTTCGTTTATGCTTAAAGAGTAAAAGAAAAATATAAAAGGTACGATGCGTCACGTCACCTTCGACCCTGACTAAAACTAAAAAATAAAACAAGTAAGAAGACTCTAGTCGAGACTGCTCGACTAGGAGATACCCTGAACCCTCTAATCTGATATTCTAATCACTCTGCACTTCTTTTCGGCACACGTACATACACATCCACGTATTAGAACGCGCTCTGCTAACTGCGCAGTAAGCAGCGACTGCGCTTGTGCTGCGCTGCAGTGTGGGCAACATTATAAGGATTTATTTGTTGAATATTTTAATTTCTAGACGTACAATCTTAATGAAACTTTCAGAACATAATCATAATATTCAAATGTATGTACATTCCAAAGCACAAGTCTCTAGTACTTGAAATACGCCCTTTACAAAGATGAGGGTGAGGGGGTGGATATAGGGATGGGGGGTAAATTACAACAAAAATCGAAATTATATAAAATGCATATAAGTCTACATATAAAATTTGGAAGCTCTAGCTCTAAAGGTGTAAGAGGTATAATTAAATACCTATCTTTCGATAAGGTTTTTGATCGATAATAAATTATCGGGAGTAGTTATCGATATAAAAAGAAAAACTTGATATGCGCGTGATATACACGGACTTAGGAAACAAAATTTCAAGTCTCTAGCTCTTATATCTTCTGAAATCGACGCGTTCATACATACGGACGGACGGACGGACGGACGGACGGACGGACAGACAGACGGACAGGGCCAAATCGACTTAGCTCGTCGCCCTGATCAAGAATATATATACTTTGTGGGGTCTGCCACGCCTCCTTCTGTCTGTTACATACTTTTAACAAAACCATTATACCCTGATTTCCCATTTTCAATGGGTTCAGGGTATAAAAAACTACTCAATATTTTTGAATCAAATAAAAAACATGTTAAAGATGTGCCAATTTCTAATAATTTAAAATTATATGTAATAAGGTTTCGCTAAGATCTCAGGTTGAACTGTTCATTTAAAAGACGACTTACATTTTTTGTAGCCTGCGAACTTCTTGGTTTTTTATGATTATCTTGAAAACTAACATTTGCTCAAAATCAGATTTAGCACCAATTATAGAGCTAATCAAGAGCTAACAGATTCACTATTCGTCAAAATAAAAAAATGTTTTGGCATTCGTTTTTTAAAAACTCAAATGCGTACGAATGTCACATTCGCCACTAGAGAATTGCCCATATGCTTCATAAATATGATATTCCATTGAAATATCAAATAATTCTTGGCTTATGAAATCTAATGAAATTTAGTAATCAAATGTGTTTATAATTATTCACAAAAGTGAAATGAGTATATTCGTTTTTATTTACGCCACCACTCACCCGGCCGGCTCAACTCTCCTCTCACTCCGCTCCATTATCGCTGATTGCATTCACGAAATTCCTTAAGAGACTTTTATAAATGTGAATAAAATATTTGTTTGACGATGATCGAAAGATAAAACCCAAACTTATAGTTGTGATAAAAACGATAGTTATATAAAATTTAAAAAATAAAGAATGATAAATAAGTATTTAAGGTTCTATAATGTTATTCTCAATTTTGTTTTGAGGCTCCTATTCTGTTTTTTTTGTTGTTTTTTTTTTTTTTTTTTTTTTTAAGTGATTCTGGTCGGATGGCGGGATTTGTGTTATCTGGTTAGTTTAGCAACACTGCCAGTGCACTGGTGTGTGGCCTCTTGCAAATATTCGCATTTTGTATGTGCGTCACCGAGTCGACCACGACGAGTAGCTTGCCACCCCATTGCTGCCACTGCACCTGGCCCCAGCTGCGAGAGAGATGCTATCCCCCTCCTTGACCGTCTCGCATTGTGATGCCTGCCCCTATGGCTTCTTGTTTGCTCTGGCAGTTTGAGGGTCATAAATAATTGCCGCGCTACACACGTTCGGATTGTGTGACCAACTTGTATGCCTCCGCTCTTGCAAAGTCCACAATCCTCTGGTCCCACTCTTCTTCTCTATCCCCAACAACAACTCGAAGAAATGGTTATTTCTGCTCTGTAAAATATACTGTTGCCAACTTTTCAGCAGCGTGAGGAGTCATCACGTATTAATATATTAATAAAATATAATAATATTATTAATATAATTTACATCATTAACATTAACATATCTGGCTACTGTATACCCTATAATATTTAAATAGAAAATAATACATATTTATATGTAGATTTAGTTTTCTATCGACTCATTTGACTTATTAAGTAATATAATTTATGTTTATAAATTTAAGCATCAATCTTCTAATTTAAACGTAAGAGGAGATTTATTATTAGACTCCTTATAGGACAGAGATTGGGCAGCTTTCTTGCAGTTATCATGGACTTTGCCGATCATTGTATAGTCTTGAATGGAAATAAATCCGGTATTCCACATGAATTACGGACAAACCAGGGACAGTCAGATATTTGGGATACATATAAGCTGCCATAAATTAACCCTCACTTACCAACACTTTTCAACAACGATCCACGAATTATCCACCATTACGATATTTTTTCTTTGTTATTATGTTTTCTTTGGAATTTCCACAGGTTATGTTCATTCTACTTTTGAGCTCTTTTATCCAATGAAACATTGTAAATCTTTTATGTATGAATGTATGTATTAGTGCATTTGTGGGGCTTTTGTTCGTTTGCTCTGTTGCTATTTTTTAATTGTTTTATGCTTTTATCTGATGTCGATTGGAAATTCATTCATTGATTAGATATATCTTAAGTTATTTTGTAAGTCCGTTCACTAATAAAATCCTGTGTTTGTTCATACATAAATAAAATCAAAAATTTATTTTGAAATCTATATATAAAAGAGAGTTGTGTAAAAGTGTCTTAGCACTTATAACTCGAGATCTGCTGGACCAATTTTCATGGTTTTTGATTTGTTGGATTTGTCTCCGCCAAGAGTAGGTCAGTAGATCTTTAAAATACTGAAAAAATTTGACGAATACTTGAAAATCGCGGTTTTTTCCCTAAAGATCCAAATTTCCATTTATACTCAGTAGCCTTGACAACAGTGACAGAAGTAAATAAACAAATGTAGTCAGTCAGTCTACGGCACAGCCTCGAGCAGACCTGACTATTCAACAAAAAAAAAAAAAAGACTATTCAACAAAAAAAAAAAGATTATTTAAAAAAAAAAAAAAAAAAAAAAAAATGTTTTTCCAAATCAAAAAGAAAAATATTTCAAATCAAAAATCTGCAAAATTTCAAAAAAAAAAAATCAAAAGATTAAAACCTGACTGTTCAAAAAATAAATAAAAAATTCAAAATTCGAAATAAAAAAAAAAAAAAAATAAGTTAATTATTAAAAAGTGTATTTTTGGCTTTTTATATTTTTGGACTTTTAAGCTTTATAAATATTTCAAATCAAAAATCTGCAAAAATTAAAAAAAAATCAAAAGATTAAAACCTAACTAATCAAAAATAAATAAAAAGTTCAAAATTATAAATTCAAAAAAAAAAAAGTTAATTATTAAAAAGTGTATTTTTGGCTTTTTATATTTTTGGACTTTTAAACTTTATAAATGATAATTGTGCGCGTGCGTACAAAAGCTAAATATCTCAAATGTTCAGGTATTTTTTTGTCTCAAACATAAATTTGTGTAAATTATTTATATTTATATTTCTCGATTGTTTTATATGGTTTTGTGCGAGGGCAGTATTACTATTAATAAAAATGCCGCGTCCTAGAAGATCTAATCTTTCCCGGCGGACCCATAATGCAATTAGGCAACGGAATATCGCGAGTCAATTATCTGACGAAGAGCGAGAAATCGCCCGAGAAAGGCTCCGCGTTAGTACCCAGCAAAGAAGGGCCTTAATTCGTGCTTCTCAAAGAGAGGCAGCCCGTGAAATGGCAATAAGAAATGGTTCAAGGATTGATTTGAATCGAGAAGCGTTTCGATATGATTGCACCATTGACTATAGCTTGAATCGTTTAGCTTGCATTGGTCCAATGGACGTTGTTTGCCAGCATTGTGGCGCATTGAAGTTTGCTGGTGAAACGCCCGGTTTGTGCTGCCTTAGTGGTAAAGTGACATTGCCATTAGTGGTCCCGCCACCAGAGCCATTGCGTTCCCTACTTTTCTAGCGAGCACTCAAAAATACAATGCCTGTTTCCAATTCGGGGCAGAGACAAATCCAACAAATCAAAAACCATGAAAATTGGTGCAGCAGATCTCGAATTATAAGTTTTGTAACAAACTCTACTTTGTTTTATATATATAGAGACTGTTAGGCGGAACGAAGTTCGCCGGGAAAACTAGTATTTTTATATTGTATAGACTAAAATATTATTTAATTATCGCCTCTTAGATTGTACAACTCTGTTTATCAATACTCTAATAATAATATTAATAATAATGTTGACTTATATTAATAACATATATATAATCTTCTCTTTCTTCTTTCCTGTTCCTTCCTTCTCTTTTCTTTGTCCTCCCATCCTTATCCACTCCATTTACAGTGCTGACCACGGATTTTGCACTGCATAATTATCAAGCGCTCATCTCAAGACTCGCTTACCAAAGATGGCATCGCTCCACAGAACTCAACAACAAATCAAACATGAACAACATCAACAGCAACAACCATTCGAGCAACAACTACAAAGGCAACAGTCAGCATTTCTAATAATAACAACAACAAAAACAACAACGGCAGCAGCAACATCAAGAGAAGCCGGACATCATTGCTGATCGCTAGCGAAATGAAACAAAAACAGAATCGAGGCGAATTTCAAATGTTTAATACAAATTTTGCTTTTAATATGAAAGCGACCTAAAACTACGAAAATAGGGAAAGAGGAACTGACCTTGAAGGGTCAAGTGCAGCACACACCCATACACGCACACACGCACACACACACACACACACACACATTTACACAAACACACTAAGAAGCACAAATACACCCACACATACGGACACATATGCACACTGTTACTCCACCCACGCATTCATACGGAACACAGTGAAAGGGTAACTGCAAAAACTGATCTGCGTCATTGTAAAACGTTTCAACGAATTTCCAAAAAGTCTACAACAAATACAAAATTCCAAAATACAAAATAAATAAATAATAAACCAGCAAAGCCGTCATCTTAAAAATTCTTAAAATTAATAATATATAAAAAAAAAAAAAAAAGAATAACAACAACAACAAATCAAATAGTAAAAAAAAAAGTAAAATTTAGAAATTTGCTCTGTGATTTTCTATCAGAATGGTTTATTAATAATCCAAATAAATTTAATAATAATTATAATAAATACAAAATATTATATTTATAAATATTGCCTAATTGCATTCAAAACCAAATGTTATTTAAATATATATACATAAAGAGAGAAGCTTTAAAAATTCCCAAAACCAAAACAAAACCAACAAGAAATTCTACAAAGTCGTAAAGTAATTCATTTATTATAGCAGCGATTTGCTAACTAAATTAGTGCAACTAATATTTAGTTTTTATGTGCGAAACCAACAAAACAAGCGCATAATAACATAAAGAACCAGTTCGGGAACCAGTGCCAGCAGAACGCCATGGACGAAATGCCAGATTTATCGCATTTGACGCCGCACGAGCGCATGCAAATTGAAAATGTGCTCATGCGGCAGAAGCAGGAGGAGGAGAAGCAAAATGAGATAATGCGGTAAGTCGATTTGGTAGCCCATTACATACAAACGATAATATCATATCATACAGATAGGGATATCAGATAACGGGTAATGCAGATAGCAGATGTAAGACAACACTTGTTTTGGGTTGTGATACTCGTATATATAAATTTAGATATTAAATTATAAATGAAAGATAACACGGGTAAACAGATAAGGGATAACGTCGTGTAGCGGGGCAATGTCAATACCTCCACTAATAACCTAACATTACATCGTCAACAGTGACAGGACTGTTAAAGTCCTGTTGTAGTAAGTAAGCTAAGTAGTTCTGTCACTCTAGTGGAACGGCAGAGATCTAGCTCGTACTTCTTCTGGTTTTTACGATATGTAATAAACATAGCCTGAAAATGATTCTTGCACTCGTGAAATTAACCGAAAAAACATATGATCTCGCTCTGAGCGAAAGAACTCGGTTCATTCTTTAGGTACATTGCCTAAGGAGCGATACAATTGACATTCACACAATGAGACTTACGAACTGAGTATTGAGAAATACAATGATTCAACTTAAGCAACTTCAAAACACTGTGATTACTTAACTTCCTCTAATTATCATCTATCAATTTATTGAGATTGTGATTCCTCACCGAGTTTTTTCTTTTCAATGTGTGAGATTTTCAATTAACTATCAACTGTTATATTCGAGCTATGGCAATAAGTGTTGGAATCCTACAGTAGGATTTATAAATTTTATACGGCTTGCATTACTACTATAGGTCTCTCCTCTTCAAACCTAAAAACTCAACTCTGCAGACCTTTATCTTCTTCTTCTGTCATGTCTCATTATGACAGTCGTCTCAGCAATCGACACGGTTAAATATTGATAGATGTGTTAACCTCAAATTCTACTACATAAGCAAATATCGTATTTCTTGTCTTTTAATAAATTAATAAGTGTAATATCGCTCAAAAGATTATAGTAACATATATAACGTCGGCGGCAACGCTCGCATCTTCCTCGGCCGGTGGTATCACCACAAGATACACACAAACTAATTAATACCTTTCCCCCTTTCCGCCGCACCATCCCAAGATTTACAAATGTCTTATCAGACTGAGATTGCCCCAGCTGGGAAAACTAACTATATATACATAAATACATATATTAATATATATGTAGATATGTATATAATTTTAGCTCTACTACACTAGCGATTATGGGAGCCGAATCCTACTCTCCCGAAGACTTGTAAATAGACTTGTTACTCAGTGAAATGAACCCGTTTTTATACTACTACTAGTTTAGTATAAGCTCTCTCTCTCTCTCTCTCGTCCGAATTTAACTGAAAAATACCAATTGGTTGTATACCACTAGGTTGTGTTCTCCACTGGAGAATTCAGCCTCATCAGTTGGTATTAACTTAGGTGCAGACATATGTAGAAAAAAAAATATATATATGATGGCATTAATTTGCAGTCAATAATTAGATTATGAAAATGTGAACATCTAAATTCCAATTAAATCAGTTTTTGCTGTTCCATAAGAACATTCTTAAATAGTTTTCAGGCAGGCTCAAATTATATATTTATTATATAATATATGTCATTATGTATTTCAAACTAGATAACTTCAGATGGATCAACAGTAGAATAAATAGTACATAATAATAGCAACATACAGTGAAATGTAAGAATTTTTGATTTTAGAGGTAAATCCAGCCAAGCTTAAGGGACTACCTTGAGAACTGTCATGTTGTCGCCTATTTTTAGCCAAAATCCTTGTTGTTCCGATGCTTAAGTTTTCTTTGAAATCTAACCAAAAATCGCATTCAAATGGATTTTCACAGACGCAAACAGGACGAAGTCGTTACGCTGGAGATGCAAATCAGACAGCGATCCGAGCAGCAAAAGAAGGCCGGCGTCGAGCTGGATGCCACCTGTCACATATGCCTTAAGACCAAGTTTGCCGATGGCGTTGGCCACATTTGCCATTATTGCAACATACGCTGCTGCGCCCGCTGCGGCGGCAAAGTAACCCTGCGCAGCAACAAGGTAAGTGCAAGCACACCTCCCTCCCGTACCCTCTCTCTGTCTCTCTCTCTCTCTCTCTCTCGCTCTGTGACCCTCTCTCACTCTCTCGTCTCTCGTCTTCTTACTGTCCATGGGAGTTGACAGCGTGACACATTTTACAGTTCGCAATTTCAAGAGCCATTAGACGCGGCTGTCACTCGACGACGTGTGGAGCCAGCTCCATGCAAGGCGAGCTGAAGGCTAGGACAAGGCGAGGCGAGGAGAGGCGAAGTCTGCTCATTTTCCAGCCATTGATAAATTGGATGACACTCTGTCGCCAGCTATACTGACGACCTCCTCTGCCGCGGCTACGGCTGCTGCTGCTCATTGAATCGACCCCATCGCTCATACGCTCCCTTGGCCAGCTCTTACAATTGCCCAAACGCCGCGTGAACCACGCATAAATAATCGCCAATATTTATTGGGCGTTTATTTATTTTTTTTTTTATTAGTTTTATATGACAATGTTTTTGGGGGTCAATTCGACACTTGATTTCTGGCATTGAGAGGCGCTAGCTAGAGCAGCTCACAAGGCTACAGAAATTTAATCTTAAACTAGCCAAAGCCATTAGCTTAGCTATGAGGGAAAACAAACTCTGAAGTAAATTCAACTTGAATAAAGTGCACCATGAATCCAATTTTAATTACATTACAATATTTAAAGACGGATAGATTTTTTCATTTTTAATATAAATATTATGCTTATTGATCGAGATATTTCATGTAGATTGAACTTTATTCAAGCAAATTGAATACATTATATTATATTATATTATATTATATTATCACTCGATTGAGCTTTCAGTTTCCCTATGAAGCTATCTGAACCTATTTAAAGAGCTATCGATGCGCGCACGAAGTTTTCAAACACTAATCAAATTTTCAATGGACTAAGGGATATTGTTGAAATGTACGTACGTGTCAGAAGGGGGTTTAGCGAGTTCTATAAAGTGTGTATATATTTATCAGGACGGTCAATTCGTTTGTCTGTCCGTATGTATAAATGAGTTCATCATATATCTTATAATCAGTTCCCTCTATAGCAGACGCAGATAGTGTTCCAAAACATTAATAACCATTTCCTTTTAATGTAAAACCTCTATTGAAATGCAGCTATAAAATTAAATGTATATATTAATGTAAAAACTGTCCAAATATAGCTCTATGTGTATTTAATAGTATTTCGATTTTTGTTATGTTGTAAAAATCAGCTTAAAGTCTTGTCACAATCTTTGAATTGATGTATCGTAAAGAAATTTCTAAAATATATCTATTGGATTAAAAATATGTAGATTGTATGTTGAAAATTGCAAGAAAATCGGCTAACAAAAATTATTAAATAAAATGGCCAATCCAAGCAGAGCTGAACAGCTTCAGGCATCTTTGCAGTCTGGTTCCTTCTAAGATCCAATTGCCGATGCTACATTATAATTTTAGAAGCACTGTAAATGCCCTATAATGCTTTACATAACCAGATATTGAGATGTCCATCTAATCACCATAGAATTTACACACCTATATCATTAAAATGAATTTATTTAGTTTAAAAGAAAAATCTTCAACTAGTTGAAACGCAAAGAACTTACAGCATCTCTAGTATATCGAGAGCTTATAGATTTTGGTTACCATATTGAAATTTAACAAAATACAATTGCCTTTGGGCTGGGGCCGGGAGTGGGGGCTGAGCATTTCAGCAGTTGGCACACCATTTCACATTGCATTGCATTTCAATTACACGTTTTTCAATTTTTATTTAAGCCAGCGAGCCGTGACGGTCTGGCTGGTTGGCTGGCTTTCTATTGGCATGGCGGGTTATCATTTGCTGGCCACGTTGCCAAACGTTCTGTTGAAGCTTTGCCAAGATGCCACACACAGACAAAGGCACAGACACACACACACACATGCATAGACGTTCACACACATAGATAGGTGGAATTGCAACGTCTTTAACAATTTCTGCATGGAGACGAAAGCGATATAGAATTTCCATTTCCCTCTGGCTCTTCCGGCCATCTCAACTTTGATTGAAATGAGAGGCGCGGAATATGAGCGACATGTGAAGCAAACGATAGAAGCTCTGTTGCCTCTGCTCCATATCGTGCTCCACTTCGGGCTGGAGGCTGCTTTCGTTGTCCACGCTATACTCCAATTGGTCGTCGAGATCGTCAAGCTGCTCTAGCTGCTCCTCCTCCTCCTCCTCTACTTCGTCCTCCTCCTCCTCCTCTTCCCCTTCTGCCAGCTCTGTCGTGTGCCAGCGAAAGTGAAAACTGCAGAAGCCCGCAAAATATTCACCTCGACCACGCTCTACGTACGTAATCAGGTGGCAGCTAAAGGTGTTCCATAGCTCCCACAGCTCGTTGAAGTAGAAGAGGAGCGTGGTGGGCGCAATGAACTGATGCAAGTGATTCTCATCTAAAGGCTGTGACATATTCCCCCCAAAAAAGCAAAAAACCAAAAAAAAAAAAATCTAACGCTAAAATAGAAACTAAGTGAATATTTTTTGGGTGGCAGCTGCTGACGTTAATCTCACTCACTTGATTCTGTTCCGCTTGCAGGTGATCTGGGTGTGTATCCTGTGCCGCAAGAAGCAGGAGCTGCTCTCCAAAACGGGCCAGTGGATAAACAAGACGGCGGTGCAGCAAGATGGTTTCATACGGCGCATCGAACCCGACGGCAGCAGCGTAAGTAGATTGAATTTCAAGCTAAAGGGAAATCAAGTTAGCTCTCGCTCTCTTCCCCCCCTCTTTGCAGGACATCTCGCAGCAGGCCATTGTCGATCCACGCGATTCGGCGGACAAGCGACCGAAGCTGGAGCGCACGCGCAGCGCTGCCGAGAAGGAGAACCTGCCCATGCAGCGGGCTGGCAGCATGCTGCGTCGCCAATATTCGCAGCAGGAGCAGCCAACGAATCGTCGCCTGTCCGTCTCCGACAGCGGCATGGAGCCGCTGAGTCCTGGGCAGCAGCAGATGCAGCAGCAGCAGCTGCCGCAGCGCCAGCGCATGCAGCCCATGAATCCGCAGCAGGCGCAGCAATATCAACTCCAGCAGCAACAACTACAGCAGCAGCAGCAACAACAACTGGGCTACGGACAGCAGCAGCATCCACAGAGATCGGGCGCCTATCCAGAGGATGATCCGCGTTACTATCAGGTGAGCTTATGGAATTGAGAATGAATTTTAGCTATGATGAGATAAAATATTATAATTTGAATTTATTTTGAAACTATTGAAACTAAGGACTCTAGTATATAGCAAACATAATCTGATTTATCAGGAGATTGTAACTAGGATATGCGAATAATAGATACAATTGATAAATTATAGAAAATATAAGTAAGCGATATAAGTACACAGAAATCTGCGTAAATAAAAACAAGAGCCTTCAATATTGCTGAAAGATGAAGAGATTTTGTATAAAATTGAAATTGATTTATATATTTATTTATTATATAAAATGATGTTGACATAGGTAGTACATAAATATTGTAAGACTGAGGCAATCTGATGAAAATGAACATGAAAACGCAGTTCAAATTTTAATGAGAATCAATTTAATGATGTAATTAGAAGAAGATAGAAGAGAAAACAAGTATAGATAAAAATACAAATATAGACAGATCAAGAGGTAAAATATGAGGAGAGAAAAGATGTGAAAAAAAAGCGATGAAACCTGGCCAAAAAACAGCGAAGCGTGCAGAAAGAAAAAGAAAGGGAGGAATGTAAGGAATATGGAGAGATGCAAGATAGGCGAAGTGAGAAAATAAAGAACAAAGTCCTGAACAGAATGTAGAAGAGAGAATACATATGCTAGAAAATATAAGATATGAGCTCGATAAAAAGAAAGGACATGAAAAGATAAAAATGAAGGGGAAAAGAGAAGAAATTCATTAAATTTGAAAACCGGGGATTATATTTTACAAATTTAAATGTGTGCATATTATGATCATATAATCATCTAATATAATATATGTATATAAGCATGGAAAAATGTTACGAATACTCCGACAAATTTAAAGTCCTTAGATTTTGTAATACTATTATGCTTACTCCATTGAAAAGAGATTTCCCTTTTCGAGATATCTTTTTAATGGAGTAGGAATAATCGTATAACGAGAATGACATATTCACTTCGTTTTCATCATTTGAAAATTTATGAATTTATCTGTCCCTGCAGGGCGAGCTGGATGGTCTGATGCGACAACATCCTCACCTGGCACATCCCAGCCAGGTGCAGCAGCAGCCACAGCAGCAACAGCAACAGCAGCCGCAACAGCAACAACCACAGCAACATTTAATACCGCAGCAGCAGCGATTCAATGCACGCCAGCAACATATGCAACAGCAGCAGCAGCAGCAGCATCAGCAGCAGCAACAGCAACAGCAGCCACAGCAGCAGCAACAGCAGCGAATGCTACAACAGCAGCAACCGTATCAAGGATCCTCGACACATGCGCAGATTCATTCGCAGCCAGCGCAACTGGGTGGGGGCAGTGGCTACCAGAAGGCGCCACCGCTGACGCGCAACCTGACGATCAGTGGGGGCCACGCCATGGATGCCACCACCTACAATCAGCAGCAGCAGCAGCAACAGCAGCGGCGCTCCTTGGCTGGCGCACAGTACGCCTCACAGCAGCAGCGATCCTTCAGTAGCTCCGAGGAGGAGTTCCAGAGCCATCTAATGGCCGCGCAGGCGCAGGCGCAAGTGCAAGGACATACCGTTACAGCTGGCAGCGACTACGATGGTGAGTGATTTCGTTTTCTCCAATTAGCACACCCGTATGCCTCTCTCTCTCTGTGTCTCTCTCTCTCCCTCTGTCTCACTCACTCTATTTGTACGCTACCTCTATCACTCTGTTTCCGTTTAAAGGCCAATCATTTGATTGGCCCTCTCTCTCTCTCTCTTGACTTTTATATCCTTGTCCTTTGATCTCTATCTCTAAATAGATATAAGGGCGAGAGATTAAAGTCTACGTTGTGTCTGACTTTGGGTCAAAATCTAACCAAACAAGGCTTCACGCTTTTCGTCTCTCTCTCTCTCTCTCTCTCTCTCTCTCTGCCCCTTTCTACATATAACGGCGACACATATACATATATGTAAATATAATATATATTTTTCTATTTATAGAAAAAAAAAAAAAAAAAAAAATATATATATATATATATATATATATATATATATATATATATATATATATAAATATATGTTTACGTATAAGTTATCTACTTTCCGTCCATATATTTTATGACCCGACTACAAAGATACAAAAATATTTAGAGATTAAAATGATATGGATGTAAATTAACATATGTTTCTATGTTATATGCATATATCTTTCCATGTTAATTTAAATTAACATAAATTTGTCCAAAACCGAATTATAATCATGTCCCTCCCTTTATATAGGTATAATTCTATATATCTATCTCTTTCTATATATTTTCTACCTCTACCAACCCGTCTTGTCTTTAACATTCTAAGTGTTTAGATGTTGTATATAAAAAGTATGCCCCATTTTGTTGTTGTTATTTTTTAACTGTTTGTCTCCCATTCCCTATCTCTCGCTTTTCTCTTTCTGTCTCTCTCTTGCTCTCTCTATCTCTTTCTCTCTGTCTTTCTCTGAAACTCTCTTCTGACTCGCTCGCTATGTCAAATTATGTTTATTACAAATAAATATATATATTTATACATATAAATATTATATATATACCGGTATATGGGTATATATGTATATACATATATGTATGTATATATGTAATCTCTGTCTTTCATTGGTGCGTTGTCTTTTCGTTTAGAACTTTTGCCTTTATCATTAATGAAGTTTCTAAGCTACAATTTCCAACATGTTTCCCATCAATTTTGCTCACACAGTTTCCCAATGTCTTTCTTTATATGTATATTCTATATATTTAATATAACATTAGTTAGCCAACATATAAGTTTAAGATAGGCTTTATATACTAGTTAGCTGTAAAAGTAAGTTTGTCTTTAAGTTGCACTCTAGTTCTTAAAGGGAAACCGATTGGCATGGAAAAACTTGTTCAAATGCCGCACAAAGGGAAACGCGTTGCACAAATAGATGCAACACAAATATTGGTGGCACTTGATGGTCGGCCGCAGTCGTAGCTGTGGTGGCAACATAAACGAAATAAAATAAAAATAAATTGTTGACCAGGGGCAGAGCATGCTGCATGTGGCAAGTGGCAAGTGGCAAGCTAGCAAGCTGGCAAAAGAACCGCGTTGCATACTTTTAGGCAAGGCATTTTCCCTTTTTGCACCGTTAAATGCAATCAACATAAATTATATGCAGCAGCGCGACAGTTTAAAGTTGGCTGGAGGCGCAGGCGGGTGGTGCGGCAGTGCCACAGCTGACCCGAAAACACATTTTGCCAGCGCCACAAGATATCCGAAAAGTTTGCTGGCTAGTTTGGCGGGCAGGAGGCGGTGCGAGTGTGACAAGTGGCAAGTGGCAAGTGGCAACTGCTGCCTGCCTCGTGTTTGGCTGAGCGATATCGCCGGCGACTTTGTCAAGTGCGTTGCTCGTTGCAAATTTATTAGCCTAATTAGAAAGTTTTTTGCTGCCGCCTGCCCCCGGCCACTTGCGTCTTGCCTCCTGCCTCTTGCCACTTGCCAGATGCAGCATGTTCCCAATAAAAATTTCGACTAATTTTTTGCGTAAGAAAATACTAATGGCAACGGCTGATTCCTGCTGCACATTAGCATGCAACATTTCGTGGCAAGATTCTTGTACTTGCCACGCCCCGCCGACTAGAATAAAATAACTATTGATTTCGACTTTGCCCAAAAAAAAAAAAAATAAAATAAATTGAAGGTAGAAACCAACTGCAAGCTGTGGCAGCCAAGTTTGGTTGCAAGCCGCCGTGGAATGGAATTAGGTGCACAATTTTCGGGTCCGCCCCACGATTCCGATAAGCGACCCAAAACTGTGGCAAATGCAGCGCTGCCTTAACAACTGATAGGGAAGACGCCTCTGTGCCCCAGCCACCTATGGAAGCGCCTCCTCGGTTTCAGCTTGTTGCAGCTGTTCTGCTTTGCACCCGGTGCAGCTGCACTGCCTTCTCACCACACAGAGCCACGCGCCAGGCGAAAGCCACCACAGCAAGTGGCAGCTCTCACCACGTTCACAATAGAAACGCACGCAAGCCATGGCCAGACGTCATGCGTTGGAATACTTCCAGCGCCAAATGGGAAAGCTCTCACTGAAACAGCAATGGAACGGCAGGCGCATGCGCTGCATTGAGAAGTGCCGTTATGCCCGCTACTTCCGCTCGCTGTGCTTTCCAGTGCTTAAGCAGCAGAAGTAGCAGCTGATGATGTAGCGAAGTGCGCGCGCAATCTTAAATTTATTTGATTAAAGCTTACAAAAATATTGCCTCTATGAGTTACCGTAGGACGTCAGATCATGGGATCAGAATATGAATAACTATGTTTTGCATAAAATAAATGAACTAGTTCCATGACTTGACTATTTAGTGCCTTTGCTGGAAAAGCTTAAATATAATATAAAATTACAAATTATTAGCGTATTCGAATTTACCTTTTATTTTAATTATCTATAAATATTTAATTTATATCAAAAAGTCTTTAAAAGTCTTTCCAGTCAATACTCATTTTTATTTTCTACATAGACCCTCGATATTAAAAGTTTTTAATGAATTTATAATATTCATTAATTTAGCTATAGAATTTTCACTTTGTCCACTGTGCATTGCATTATTAACTGTAACCTCAATGACGCTATGCATTGTATGCCCACGCATAGATCACATAGTCCCACGCTCACTCTATCTTTCTGTCACGCTCCCTCTCCTTTTGCGTCACACTGTCACCACGATGCTCTTTACTTCAATCCTTCAATCCGCTACACGCTTTATTGCAGCGACGTCATTTCATTCACCGCATTTCGTTTCATGCAGCGTCATGCTCTTTACTACGAATTCGCCTACAACGGCAATGGCAACAACAACACGCAAGAACTAATGCACTTCCAATCCAGTTAGACCGAACAGTTAGTCAACTGTCCAGCACGCGTACCTTAGCTTGTTAGGCAGGGGCTTAGCGGGGGTGAGGCTTGGTAGCACTGGAAAGCAAAGACAAACACGCTGATTTTACCATTGGCCATCGAGAAGGAAAGAGAGCACAAAAACAGAAACAGAAACACAAACACAAATACAGCACAATACCCCAACAACAGTCGCAGTGGCAGTAGCAGTAGCAGTAGCAATAGCAGCAGCAGCGCAGTAGCAGTAGCAGAGCAGCGTGCCTGCCTGACCCGACCATGCGGCAGTAGTAGCAGCAGCTGTCAATGTTATCGCAGTCAACGTCTCTGTCACAGTTGGCGTCGCAGTCGCTCTGGCCACGCGTAACTTTATTTTTAGTTGTGCATTGGAAGTGCCATGGGAAAGTGCTGCTACGGCAACAACAACATGGCGAATTTGTAACATTGTTATTGGAAATATGTGTGTAGGCTACCAGCACGAGGAGCAACAACAACAATGAAAGCAATAACAACAAGAGCCGAAGGGTAGGCGCTAAAGGAAAGCGAAAACGTAAAGCAAAATTCCATTGAGGTTTTTTTTAAATCGAAACGAAATTAGTTTTCGATGAACTTTAAAGGCGAGTAAACAGCCGTTGCGGCTGCACGTGTCGCAAAATCCAAATTACAAAAGGCTAACCAAATAAATAGTGAAAAACATCGCAAATACATTGAAGAAAAAAAAAACGAAACGGATCCCGTGACACGCGGCAAATGCTGCGAGCAATCGAAAGTGAAACTTTACGAGTATCTCACGTTAAATTTAAGGCGAAGGTTGAGCCCAACGCAACCTTGAAGCGAATTTGTGAAAGTGAAGCAATATTAAAGAATAAATTTAATAAAAATAAATAAATAAATAAATAACAAAAAAATTGCAAATAAAACGTGCGTGCTCGCTAAATTACGCTTGCATCTGGCATTGAGTGATATATAATTAAAAGCTTGTTTGCTGAAGGTTAAACGTGTCACACACAAAGGAAATCTACTTTAAATAATATAATTAATATTTCGTCGGGCACATAAAGGTTGCAGAGAAAACTAAATTATTAGTGTATAAAATTTGGCTTTAATTAATGCATACAAAGAGGTAAACAAATGGCTCAAATTCAAGAATAAATACATAAATAAAAAGAGCTGCAAATATAACAGAATATTTAATTGCTATTTATTGCAATAAAACCATAAAATTGCTGCCAAATTTGGGGCCACGAAAGTGCCTTCAAAATGAAATCGAATCAAGTCATGAATCAAATCTTGGCCAGCCTTAAACTGCGCAAATTGTGGCGCCCATTCGACGCGTTTGCCTCCCACACAAACACAGAAAATCAACGCACACACACACGTGCATACATATACATTTGCAGCTGGCCGTTTCCTTGCGTGGGCCAAAGCAGAATCTAAGGAAATTATTCTTATGCCAATTATTGTTTTCTTTTCTTTTTTTTTTTTGTTATTTATTGTTTTTCTTTTTTTGTGTTTTCTTTTGGTTTGCTGAGTGTCGAGGAGCCCAGGTGAAAGCAAAATATACGAAAATTTACGATTTGTTTACTGTATACAGCCACGCGATTACCAAGCCAGCTCTCCCCTGACTACCTGTATACCTGCCTCCCTCTCTGTCCGACTCCCGCTCCCACTCCCACTGTGCGTGTGTGTGGACATGCTAAAACATGTTTTACAATCTGTTTTGC